AGCGGCAGACAGACGCGGAAAACTAGAGCTTTCGCAGATCCATGAGTCACATGCATATGTGTTACGCTCACGAATGCAACTGGACCGTTAGCTTGGAAGCTCTCACTCCAGACACCGTCTGGGACGCCGCACTGCAGAACTCGGAGCATCTTGTGATGGTGTATGATGATGAGAGCAAGACCGTGCGAGGCCGCCCCCTCAAGGAGCTAGTGCACAACCGCGTCCCTTATAGGGATCGCGGGTGGTGCAAGGCAGAGGTGGAGTGGTCCTCTTGCAGGAGCAGGTCCGAGCAGAACCAGCTGATCGACCCTCGGGACTCCGAAGTGAACTCCGCAAGCGAGCTCGCGGGCAAAGTCCCAACGGCTCCCGAGGTCTTCCAAGAAGACATGAAGAAAGCCGCGTTCACGCATCGGAACGATGCCGGAATAGTGCAGAAGCTGCAGCAGGACATTTACTACAAGAAAGTCTCGGCATGCGAAGAGGCGCTGCTGACAAACTTGCCGGAAGGCGAGTTGGGCCGGCTGGCCAAAGCCCTGAAAGATTACAGGAAGCTGAAGGTCTTGCGCCTCCGCAACATTGCGGTGGGTGAGGCAGAGGCCGAGGAGTTCTGCAAGGTGGGCCCGCCGTGCCGCGAGGGCGCTTGTTTTAGAAAAAGCTGTTTTCAGGCACTTGGGCTGAACGACACAATCGCAAAGCTGGAGATCCATGTCGCTGAATCCCATCAAGAACGGTGTTCGGCTCTGTGGAAGGCACGAGCTTTCACGGTGACAGAGATGCGGTATACCTTGCTCCCGACACCGTTGCTCTCCTCAGAGGCACTCGCAGATGCCCTGAAATCAAACAAGACCGTCACCGACATCAGCCTCGATGGCAACTGGATCGGACACGAGGGCGCCAAGGCCAGGCGGTGCCCGCGGCGTCTTCGCAGCTTGCAGTTTCGACCCCGCTTGTCTTCTGAGAGGCACTCGCAGATTCCTTGAACTCCAACAACTGCACGGTCACCCACGTCAACCTCGGTTGGAAAGACGAGGGTGCCAAGGCCAGGCGGTGCCAATGGGGTCTTTGCAGCTTGCAGCGGTTTCGACCCCGCGTTTCTTGTGAGAGGCACTCGTAGATGCCCTGAAGTCCAATCGCACCGTCACCGTCAACCTCGGTTGGAACAAGATCGGAGACTTCACAAAAATCTTAGGCAAGGGCGCCAAGGCCAGGCGGGGCTCTCGGGGTTCCAGGCGGCAATTTGCATCCCGCAGATGCTCCGAAGTCACCCCACCCGCATACTGTCACCCGCATCGACCTCGCATGGAATCAGAGATGATAAGGTTTGTCGGGCCGTGGGGCACCCGAAGCTTCGGCGAGCTTGTGGCTCGATCTGAAAGTTGCTGCCAGGACAACGAAGAATCGGCGAAGCACTCTGCAGATGCAACGAAGTCCCAGGTCGGGGCCTTAGCAGCCCTAGCATCCTCCAAATTGCTGGGTCCTGCCTACTGTTCCTGATGCTTTGTCATGTGCATCGGGCGCCCGCGTCTACGACATACGGATCTTCAGCACCTCCGGGCGGAGACAGCAGGCTCTTGCCGGAACTCGGTTTACAAACTCACGAAAGAGGCAGAGACCTTGCCTTGGAGTGCGCATCAGCCGGGGCGAGGTGGCCGAGGCCTTGCAGGTTCTGGCCGGGCCTGCGTGCCGCTTTGCCTAGGCAGAGCAGAGCAGTTGATGTTTGAGGGAGTAGTGACCCGAATCTGTGTTACATACTGCGTGCCCGTTGGCCTTTGCTGGGTGGGTCCCAGCGATGAGGTCACGATGTGTTTGTACACTGACGTCCATTGCTGATTGCAAGTGCTTGGTTCCTCTAGAGAGCATCTGCTGCCAGCCGAGGATGGCTAAAATATCCTTGGTGGGGCCGGTTGGCTATTCCCCACAAAAAACGAAACAACAACCCGTTACACATGAGACGGTGGTTTGTGGTGGGGCGGAGGGGTGGGGAGGAGGCAGGACGGCAGGACTGCACTGTCAGAGCCGCAAATGAGCCTTCCCCAACCATGCTTAGCGGAGCTCGGCCGAGGCTTGGACGGGGAAAGTGCGCATCCAGGACTGCTGTGCCGTTTTCCGGGCAGAGAGCAACGTGCTTAGATGCACAGTGGTTCCCGTGCCAGGCGCTCGCGTCTCAGCTGACGACCAACAGCGGCACCACCCGTCTAGTTCTGGTAGGAAATCTTTGGTTTGGATTTCCGGGCATCGCAGCGGAGGACTGCCAGGCGCGGTGCCCACAGGGACATTGCAGAATGTTCTGACCATTTCGGATGTAACTTGCAGTGACCGAAATCAACTTCGCTAGAAACCAAGCCGGAGACGATGAGCCCGGCCCCGGGGTTTCCGTTGAGAGGCACTGGCAGCTGCACTGAAGCTCAACTGTACGGTCACCCGCATCAGCCTCATTCACTGCAAGATCGGAGACGAGGGCGCCAAGGCCAGGCGGTGCCCGCGAGGCATTCGCAGCTTGCAATTTCGACCCCGCGTTTGCGCGGAGAGGCACTCGCAGATGCCCTGAAAACAAACAAGACCGTCACCAACATCTACCTCGGTACCAACGGGATCGGACCCGAGGGTGCCAAGGCCAGGCGGTGCCCCACGGGGTCTTCGCAGCTTGCAAGTTCGACCCCGCTTGTCCCTGAGAGGCGCTCGCAGATGCACTGAAGTCCAACTGTACAGTCACCCACGTCTACCTCAAAAACAGCAAGATCGGGGACGAGGGTGCCAAGGCCAGGCGGTGCCCCACGGGGTCTTCGCAGCTTGCAATTTCGACCCCGCGGTTACCCTGAGAGGCAATCGCAGACGCCTTGAACTCCAACTGCACGGTCACCCACGTCGACCTCAGAAACAACAAGATCGGAGCCGAGGGCGCCAAGGCCAGGCGGTGCCCACAGGGTTTTCGCAGCCTGCAATTTCGACCACCGCTTTCCTGTGAGAGGCACTCGCAGACGTTCGGAAGTTCAACCATGTTGTCGACGTCGTGATGTATGATTCTGATTGAGGCCAGCATTTTGGTGCATCAGTCGATGCTGCGGAGCACAGGGAGTAACACAAAAGAACAGGCTCGTGTGTTTTCCTTACTCCGTTCAGCCATGCACCAATACTCGTAGCGGCCTGGCGCTGAATCTAGTCGTAGCATCATAATATCATACTGACTAGTACAAGTATATCAGTGTATCAGTATATGTATAATGATGAAGTACCAAGAGGTCGTAGACCAACACTGAACCCTGTACTGTCAATTTCTTTAACGGCTGTCCAAGTATTCAGGTCTCGATCTTATCTTGGGGCAAGGCCCACGCCCCGAGGTCTTTCCCATGCAAGGTTTCTCCCTGGGCCCAAAGAAGTTTCACGCCAGAAGCTCTACGCTCTGGAAAGTCGGTCCCGTTGACAATCCGATTGCAGCTTCTGCTGAGAGACTACACGGCCAAAAATCCCAACACCACCGGCTTCCGCATCGCTCTCGTCTTGTAAACCCTAAGGCCTAAGCCCTTTTACGCCAGCTCCGCCAATTCGTGACGTTCCTGGCAAGTCATTTCTGCATCATGCGGCTTCTCAAGACAACGCTGTCTAGTGTGCGAGGCGGAAGCGAGAGGGACTGTTTTGGCCGGTCAACCGTGGGAGCCTAGAGATACCATGTGCGGGGTGGCTCTTGTTTTAAGCCTATACACTTCTTGTTATATGGTATATGATCTTATGATGATATACCTCTCGAGGTTTAGGTCGGGGTTGAGGGTAGATTTCGAGCTCCCAGTTTCACTCGCAGCCCGTGGCAGCCAGACCAGAAGTACCAGGATGCGGCCGCCCCAGTGTGGCAGATGGGTTTTGGGGTCTTTCAAACCCAGCAAAACTCACGATATTTCCCTAGACCGTCAACCTGCCGCCGACTCTTCACAGCAACCTGGGCTTCGTAATTCACTTTGCGCCTTGTGTGATGCGACGGCCGTGCCACCCAGAAGAGCTCATGTGTACGCAGTGTTGAGGGTTGCGGGCTTTGTATGATATTCCTAAGCCCTAAGCCCTAAACTGCCCTAAGTCCTATAAACTTTAATCTTTACCCCCTTAAGGCTTATAACTTATAAATCGTAAGCAAGCCCTGAGCCGGGACCCCTAACAGAAGCGCCGAGAATGCCAGAAACCCGGAGCTTCCCCCACCTGCAGCCCTGACAGGGCGTAGGTCCCTGAATAACTTCGGCATTTGGGGCTTCCAGGCCCTTTGGGGCTTCCGGGCCCCTCAGGGGTTCTAGGGAGCTCAGGGTTGAAGAGGCTTAGGGTTAAGGGCCCTGGGGTTTAGGGCTTCGGGGTAAGGGCTCTTAGGGGTGAGGGGCCTTTCCACATTGAGGGTTTTTTTGGGGGCTTGGCTTGACGAAAAGCAAATGGGGCCTTAGAGTTCAGGCTTAAGGCTTTGGGGTCAGGATGTTGGGCATTCAGGGAAGCTAAGCAATGTGTTGTCCCCCAAAACCTTACTGCTGGCTCCTGGAGTCCAGGTCGCATGATCTCGCGTAGTAGTCGCATTGCCGTCCTCAATAAACCTAGGGGCAGTTTAGGGCCTGGGGTCTCGCAAGACTGGCAGGAGCCCACCGAAGCATCTCAGGCTCCCAGGGAGAAGGCGTAGCGACATGGAGAGCATCATGTCATAGTAGAGTAGCTAACCATTTATTTACCTTCTTGGGTACTATACTCCTTATCTAATCCCAAGGCTTAAGCTTAAATTCCCTAAGGCATCCAGGCCAATGAAATCGAGACCCACCGGCTCCGCAACCTGAAGCACCCAACGAAAGCGTGAAGCGATGACCTTACGGGAGACTCCAAAACCTAACCTCCGAATTAAGGAATGCTCCCGAGATCCAAGTGGGAGGCCAAATGCAGTCCGTATAGTGCAGGGACACTCCGTAATGACGGGATTTTGGAGTTTCAGGGTCTGCGTTGTGCTTCTCGGAAACCCATCGAGTCAACGTGGCAGCGCGCGCTCTTCGTGAGGAGAAGACTGCTCAGTGGCAGCACTTGGGTCTGCGTGAAATTCGCTGAGTGGTTCATTAAACTCGGGTTCTTTACAATCAATTTGGAAAAACAACTGCGGGAAGCCAATTCACACAATGACTACAGCCCGGTAGGGGATGGAATTGGTCAACAGGTGGCCTGACGAACACAGTTTCTCTTGAGTGAAAAGATCTGAGGACTATCGGCAAAGAGTGCATCGTCGGTTGTCGGAGGTTTTTGTTTGGGCGTGTCTTGTCCTGAAAGCTACATCTTGCCAAGCCTAGGGGGAACAAAGCTGCAAGAATCTCCCGGATCCCAGCCCACAATGCAAGGCAACGCCGCAATCTTCCAAGCCCAGCATTACACAGGCTTCAGTCCCGAAAGGTTGCCCCGCAAGTATCGACAGCAGCGTTGAGGGCTACCGACCCAGTGCATTTATCCAGACCACCCGGAATACGCCCTAAGCAGATATGAGCTGAAAGGCTTGAAGAAAGGTGGGTGTTTCTCTCGGTCCGAGAACATGAGGTTTAGTACCCTCAACCCTGAAGGTACTACACAGGAAGCCCGTTTAAGAACATAATAAAAATGGTTCATTGGGTTTCTGCAGGGGTTTGAACAGCTTGTCTGGGTTGTCCTATACTGGTCCTATACCGGAAGCCTGTGCTTGAATGTCTGAATTTTTACCCTTCCTTTCCTTGGGTAGTAGCTCAGCTAGGGCTCTGAAACACTGTGCATATAGAATCTGCAGCACTATTATAACCCGTGACCTTTTGCCTTTCATGTAGAAGCGTTGCTGTTGGGATTTATGTGTTATCTTTTCTCTCCTCGGGGACCGGATTCCACAACTGCGGTAGATATGGATCCAAGTAGACGAGACCTGAACCAAGAGTTTCGAGTTTGAGCCTGTGGCTCCAGCATTCCATCGTTCTTTCTTGGATCAGGGGATCTGGTTGGTAGGTTATGCACGAGTAAGACAGCGATCACCTCCATAAACGTTCATAGGATGTACAACCTAGTTGGAACTGCTGAGGGTTTCGGGTTTAGGGTTTCTCTAAGATCCCCAAATACCAATGCCTAAGAACTTCCCGCGAACCCACTGAGTAAAGTAATGGCAACTTGTAGCGCGGGCAGCATGGCAACCCTTTTGTTACAGTACTACCCGTGAGCCTTCAAGCAGGATTTCCACCTTGCGGCCAGAAGTCTGTGCACAATCAGAATCTGCTTCTTGCTTGTTGGAGCCCGGGGATTTAGCCTGGCCTTGCTTACAGTGCCTGTCTGAGGTACGTACGAGCCACCCACGTTGAACGCAGAGGCGACGCTTGTCAGAGTAAATTATAGGACGTCATTTTCCCCGGTTTAGGGTTTAGTGTCGGGGTAGTTGTACTGCCAGATTTTTAGCTGCACATTATGAGCGGATCCCAAGTCCTTAAGTATAGTACCTGGGCAGATCTGGTGTTGATAGGGCTTGCTAGTTATCGTTACACTGTTGAGTACTTGTAGGTTGGTAGCATTCCCCATGGCTTTGTTTGTTTACTGTGAAAGTAGGTCATTTGGGATTTGTCCTGGGGTTTCTGCCTAGTTTCGGAAGACTTCTAAGTTGTTTCAGGAAGGCGTAAATCTCTGGCTGGCTTCGACAAGTGAGGGGTCCGTGATTTCGGAGTAGGCTCTTAACGTAATGAGGTAGATGAGGATGCCGGTAGTCTGGGTGAGGCTTCCCTTCTTCGGACATTTCGGCAAGCCAAGGGATCCCGGGATTTACGGTCGAGATTCTCCCTATTTGCATATCTAGACTCAGGATTTAGGTTTGGGGGTTTAGATGAC